CGGCAACCTACTCTTTCAAAGATCGATAAGGCTTACCACCTACAGGTGGTGCACCTTGTGGGGCTTACTATTTTTCTAAGGGCAAAAATCGTCCTCTACTCGATGGTAAAAACCGTAGATCGCTAGGACTTTTCCATAAAAAGTTATTTGAAAAACGCCACTCTGCACTGTATTTATGGATCGATAGTAGTATCACAACAACCAATCCGTTACATTTTCTGTACTTCATCACATAAACATAATATCTCACATCATTGAGACGAACATCAAATAATCGGACAATCTGCTGACTCCACATCGCCTTTGCGGGAACAGCAGCGTCGCAGCAGTTTTTTTTTAATTTCCTTATTCTTTATTAGGCAGAGAGTCAACAGGTTGACAGAAAATAAATTCTCGGTTCGAACTGTAATCACTGCTATATCACGATCAACAATCGTTTCAAAGTAAAAACAAACGTTGCCACGTGAATCAGCATAGTCGAAAACCTATTTGGGAAGTGTTCGTTCGATATTATAAGTGAAACAAGCGTGAGTTAAGGTCGTCCTCGGAGAATCGCTCCCTAGGGATCCTAGGGATAACAGAAAAAAATGAGCTCTCTGCGGTTTTTTAGAGGAAGGTTTGTTGGTTCGAATCTATAAAAGAACGGGAAAAGAAATCTTTTTTTCGTTCTTTTCCAACCTTGTCTTTCAAAGATGTGAATGTCTTACCACCTGCAGGTGGTAGACCTGGTCTGATTTTTATTTCTCAAGATGTCTTAAGGTGTCCGCTTTCGAACAGCGAAAACCGCATCTCTTTACCTACTTTCTATCAAAAGTTATTCGAAAAATAGTCAGGGCATTCTTTGTTGAGACGTATAGTAGTAAGGATGATTTTTTAACAGAGTCGAACACATCATACTACTCGACGGAACGACAATGAATGAAATCTCAGTTTTGCGAATGATTTTTTGTCCTATGGAATGCATTCCACTTTTCGAGATTACATTAAATACTGTTCTTTTGTTGAATATTTTTACATATGTCGGATATATATCTGAAATGATTATATGTTTCTTTCTTGCCTATTACAGATGAACTTATTTTTGAGAAAAAACAGAAACAATTAACGTCAATTTCTCGGAAAAACACTTAAATATAAACGAAATGAAAAATGAAAAACGTTCACTACAGCATAGAAGTCATCGTTTCTTTGATCGACTGGTTAAAAGCACAACTGTAATATTGGCGCTTTGGGCTTGTGGGAAACAATTTCATCAAGGTGAACAACAATTTGAGAAAAAAAAGAACATTTGACTCATGGAATAAACCATAAAAACTACAAAATTATGGAAGACACTATAAACAAAACGGACGTAAATACATATGATACTGACTCAATTTTTACATAAGAAAAAAACAATATATGTAAGGTAAAATATAATTAACCTTTCAATCATTATGTGATTTCCATTCGGGATGAAGAATAACACCTTTGTAATGTTTTAAAGACGACGAACAAAAACTACACCAGCACTACTATCTTAGAATACTATCACAATAAAATATACGTTTATATAAGTGAAAAAAACAGACAAGCAAAAAGAACAATTCAAACAAGGTCGATATTCCATATTATTCGATGGTTCATGTGGAACTGTATCAAAATTCAAGAAATAAAGTATAATTCATCAGAGCGACAAGTCTATTTTAGGGACGAAAAACATGTAGAAAAACCGGTGTAGATAAATAACTATTGATATGATGTTCACATAGTAACTCATGTCTTCTTACATCTGTTAATCGTTCACCGGGATATTCTTTGTATATAATAACGAACATCGGTGATGAAATAGAAAAAAGACAAACGTAAATAAATAAAGGACAATTAGTTGAAAGAAAACCATCAATTATTTTCATGTTGAAAACATCACTTCAAATTTATATAACATTCGGATACTCGAAAAACGATGGATGTCAAATTAAATATTAATATCTAAAAAAAAAAACAGTAAAATACGTAAAATAAAGACTAGTCATAAAGACTCAATTCTCAAGTATGTGTCAACATCTTTCGGCGAAGTAAGAATGCTGTTTAACTTTTAAACTAGAATATTTAGTTCTAAAAATGATTAATTTTAACCTGTAATAGTTTGGTTTAAATGGTCCAGCTTTGTTAATTCCCAAATATTTGCATTGATCATCATTCAATTCTGTTAAATGTGCGTCGAATGCTGGCAAATGTAAACTAGCAACATATTCGTCTAAACAGATATATCAACTAATATTTTTCAGTATCTTCTTCATTAAAAAAGTATTTACCCATTTTTTTTGGTAATAAATAAACATCACACTTATATCGGTTCGGTGGTGCATTATATAATTCAATCAATGCTAATGCCTATAAAATATAATTATTCTAATATAGACTAATATAACTTAGTCTTTTAAATTAACATAATTACTTGTGTGGCTGCTGTTATTGAAACAACAAAAGATGGTACACTTGAACAACATAAATTCATAATACGACCCTGAAAATAGACAAAACTATTGTTATATAGGAAATGGTTGTTATATTTTAAAAAGCAGACTTCAGCAATTAATACGATTCGTTTTCCATTAGGCCATATAACATGATCGACATTTGTTCGTACTCGTTCAACTTGTAAATCAGTTGTTGTTGGATCTCGTAAAAAACTCTAGAGAGTAAGTACATACAAGATAAACGAAATAAAATCAAACAACATGTAAAAATACTTACAACATCAATTTCTGTATTTGAATGTCCCATATTACATACGATGGCACCATTTTTTAATTTATCCAAATGTTCACGTGTAATGGCGTTTTTACTTCCTGTTGCAGTAACAACAATATCAACTTGTTTGACAACTTCTTCCAAACGTACAACTTTATAACCTTCCATACTAAAAATGTAAAAATATCCGGAAATGAGTGTTTGCAGTACATTATTTGTTCATACATAAAAATTATAGACGATAGTTGTTTGACTAGGAAATGTTTACAATTTTTTTCTTCATCCAGGTAAAAGCTAGGTAAACTCATAATAATTAACTTTCATTAATAAAATTTCGCATATAACCACCGTCTATAGTGTTACACACTATAGAAGCTAGTTATATGCGAAATTTGATATGCTTTATCTCAATCTCAAGTCAATTAAGTTACTTTTAGAATAAACTCTAACTGTAGAAAAATAAATTGACGTACCATGATTGTAATGCACATATAGGATCAATTTCTGTAACATAAACAAAACAACCCATTCCTCTTAACGCTGAACAACATCCTTTTCCCACTTCACCATAACCACAAACAACAACTTGTTTTCCACCAAACATAATATCTGTACAACGTTTAATAGCATCAATTATCGATTCACGACATAAATATAAATTGTCAAATTTTGTTTTTGTCACTGAATCATTAACATTCATTGCCGGCACAGCTAATGTATGTGTACGACACATTTGATATAAACGATGTACACCAGTTACACTTTCTTCAACAATTCCTTTGATAGAATTAAATAATGTTGGAAAATGTTTTTGCATATAATGAGTAAGATCACCACCATCATCTAAAATCATATTTGGTTGCCATCCACCATCATTACCAATTGCTTTTTTAATACACCACCAAAAATCATCATCCGTTTCACCTTTCCACGCAAATATTGGAATAGATGCTTCGGCCAATGCTGATGATACTTCATTCTAAAAGAGAAAGACAATATCGACTAATTGCTTAAAGAAATAGATGAGAAAATAAACTTGCCTGAGTTGAAAATATATTGCATGCACACCAGCGTACTTGGGCTCCCAAACGCATCAGTGTTTCAATTAAAACCTAGGCGATTAAATTGAAAAAAATTGATAAATTTTGTATTGTACTTTAGCCTTAATATTCAACTCACAGCAGTTTGTGCCGTAATATGTGTGCATCCAACAATTTTTGCTCCATTCAATGGTTTATCGGCTTCGGCTCTTCTACGCAATGCCATTAGTCCAGGCATTTCTTAATGCACAGAACAAAGATAATTGTAATATATTATTTTCAAAATATTATTTAACATACCTTGTTCAGCTATTTCTATCTCACGTCTTCCATACATGGCATGTTTAATTCGTCGTACAGCAAAATCCGTAAATCCAGATGTATTTCTCTAGAAGTAGAAGGATTTCTTTATTGTTTATAATCAATTATTGTATTATTAACTTACATGTTCCATGTCTCGAATATTTGTTCCGCCCTCATCTTCACTCTCACTATCGCTGGCTGTAGCTAAAACAGAAAGTTGAAAAGTTTAATTAATTGTTCTAAATACTAATAAAACCACATTTTGGTTGATAATTTATGATGTCAAAGTAGTAGTATAGATAAATTTTGAATTATTTTTCTTTTTATTCTGTGTTATATAATAACTTCTGAGAAGAATTATCTTTTTGATAGTGGAGAAAAATTCTCATTAAAAAGCATGGTAAAGTAATTTCCGGATCTTGAACCTTTTATAAGTGGCAATAAATACGAAGATAATCGTTGTGGATTTTTTGTTGATTATGTAACATGAATATTTTCTATCAACTGATTCAACTTTATGGGTGTCTTTCTATCCAGTCTACTAGATGCATAGATAGCGAAAGCAGGAATAGATAAGGATCATTGACAGTATTTTACCAAACACATAAACATCATAAACTTAAAGATGATAAAAAAACAAGAAAAGGAATATTGTACTCATTCATTTTCAAAACTGAAGCTTTATTAGTTTTATTGCTCCAAAAAATTGCTTTAAATGTAACAAGATATGGTCACATCTCATTTAGATCATGCTTCTTTCACTTAGCAGTAATCAGAGAGAGAGAGACGTTTGTGGAAATTCGCTTAAACAATTTGAATTTTAGTCATATAGTAATGCTATAATTAATTTACGTTATTGATCTATAGCTTAATTCACATGTTCAGAGTATAGCAGTTTATTTTAGTACGTTTTTAAGGTGTAAGTATACAGTTTTGTATAAAAAGGCAATCAAAATTCTGTCTATATTGGTAAATATACAAATACGCTAAGTAAAAATTGTTCACATGGTCGGTAAATAGACAATTGATTATTTTCTTCTAGTTAGCAGGATGCCTGTGTGAATAAAAAGAAACGGGTGTATAAAGAATAACAAATGACTCTATTGTAATTTGTAGTATTTCCGGAAGAATTTTTGTTAACGAATAACAGAAAAAGAAATGCTTTTTTGTCATTGAAATATATTTAATAATACTATATATCGGCAAAAGAACTAACAGCTATACGTTACCATTGCATTTAATCGTTCTACCTGTTGAACTTATTTATTTAAAAATAAAATTTATCGTTGACTTTTGTATTTTTACATTATTACGCATGTTTTGGCATAACAGACCCGTAAAAAAAAATTACAAACAGTCGATCATATGAATAAGAAAAAAATTTATTTACTGGAATTATCAATGTCATGTTGTTATCAATTAGGGTAGCAACAGTAGAGAAATATCAAAAATCTTTATCTCTTTTACTACTAATGTTTCCTAACAGTAAATAAGTGATTTTCCTCATTTGAATGTAGCATAGCCGAATTATCATAGATAATCCTTTGCAAAAAATAAAAACCAACAACAACTACTTTTTATCTCTTTATTACTTACAATCTGATTCAACATTGGATAAACGATGTTCTGTATCTATATCAACACCCTGACTAGATGATCTCCGTCTCTCACATTCATATATAATATGTTTATCAATAAATTGAACCGATGAACGTCTATCATGTCGATAACGATCTTTAGAATTTTCTTCATCTGTCGAAATATTTTCCTGATTACTATTGGTGGTAGTATCATCAATAATATTTATTGTCAAAGATGGTTTCAAAAGATCTAACATAACATGACTATTCGGCGATAATGATAATGATTTTTTCATTTTTTAATACATTCATTTATATATATATATATATATATATATATGTAATGATAACCAAAAATCAGTGAGTGAACAACTGATTGACACTATACGTACAAAACAAAAAATGTATGTCGTCTAGTTAAGACAAATTTTAAAATAAAAAAAAAATGCAAAGAAACACAGTAAAATATCTCTGTATTTCTGGATAAGTATGCATTATTAATGAAAAATAAGATCTGTTAAATGAGAATGCATAGAAGAAAGAAAAAAAACTAACGAAAAAATTGATGATGGCGGAAAGAAGAGAGCAAAAAGTGTGAGAGAGAGAGAGACAGAGAAAGAGTAGAAGGAGAAGCAAAAAGGAACAATGTTAGAATAATGAGAATAATTAGAATGAAACAGTAAATGGATGTTATTAATAGTCATGATATTAGAGATCAACTTCAATCATATATTTTACCTAAGATAACTCATATAAGATAAAGGCATCCATTAATTTTTCTTTCTCATTTTATATTACACTTAAAAGATTTTAAAAATAACAGACTAGTTCAACTAAAAAATAATATATATAAGAAATAACCGATTTATAAACTAAGTTCTTCTAGAAAAAAATATAAGAAGAAAAAGAAAAAGATTTTTATTTGTTATTTTTTTTTTTAATATAGAATCCCATACACATAACATCATATAAATTCACTACTTTTTTTCGTGTCCAGGTTAGATCAACTAAATCAGGTATTGAATATTTTACACGCACAAATACACACAAAATACATATTAGTAAAGAAAAAAAGAAACTAACGATCGTAATCATCGTGCGATCACGATCATGATCATAGTCGTAAATATGACTAATTTATTCGTTAATATAGAGAATCCATCAATTCATAACGACATCTGTTTTGTATATTTTGAATTTATGGTAAGATCACATTTTGTTTTCAGATAAATGAAAGACATATTTTTGGCTTTTTCCGTTATTATAAGTTGTCATAAAGTAAATGCATGGTAAGGAAAACGATTACAAAATCAATCATTAGATACAACGTTTCTTAACGAAAAAGTAAACATGTCCGTAGTGCTAATTTATTTTGACATCTAATACTTTAATTATTCAACAAGATTTTTTCTACGTTTTTTTTTCTACTATGAGAAAAAGATACTGTATTCTATTGGGATTCAATCAAATGTGGTGTATCATGACAAGGACAAAATAAAAAAAAAAACATCCTGCTTTTCTCCATTTTCGATTGCATACACAACTACTGTCAGTCTTTTTCTATACATGTACGAAGATATGGCAACAGATTATAATATGACAGAAATAAACAAACTATCATTGACGAAGGAAAAAACTTGTAGAAAAAAGATATTTTTTAAAGTAAGAATTATCTCTATGAAAAACAAAGAAAGATATTTTTCTAAACAAAATAATAATATCATTACAATTCTTCTCATATAATGGTTAGATTCATTAAATCAAATGTGAGTCAATCTCACTTCGGTATCGAACATGCTACTTAGTCACTTATTTTTCTATGCTCTACTAGACAAAATCTGACATTAACAACTTTTTAGATGTTCTCGTATATATTCTATCTCGCTCATTTGACTCTATTGTTCTATATTTTTTGAATTTATAAAAGATTAATATAATCAAGAACATATCAATCATATTATCGATAAATTAAACTTACAATCATTTTGTATACCAGATTCATCAGCTGATGTTGTGGAATTTTTGCGTTTAACATCTTGTAAAAAACGTTTATCAAGAAATTGAACACTTGATCGTCGACGTGTTCGATACTGATCTAGAAAACTATCATCTCGACGAAATGTTGTTGTTAAATATGGTGCAACATTATCATCTTTTTCATTATCATCTATTCCTGTTGTAAATTGGACATGTCTATCATGTGGATGACTGTTGTTGTTGTTGTTGTTACTATGATCATTGGTATTGACATGCTCATTTAATTCATTTGATTGAGAATGTGTACGGAAATGAGTGGCACCACCATTGGATGATGCATCACTTGTTTTACGTGAAAATATCCGTTTTAAAGCCATTGTTAAAATTATATATTATAATGCATAATTTACGAAAACAAAGCAAAAAATTTTATCTCGTTACAGCAATTCTATTGTACACATACACAACACACAAAACTAAGATATTTATCAATGTATACAACGAGTTTTTTTTCTTTTCCGTTTTTTCTATTTCTTCTATCATCTCATCGACAGTCAATTTCATTCTCTGACACAACAACACTATAGTAGTAAAAAAAAAAAAAAAAAAAAAAAAAAAAAAAGAAAAAAAAAAAAAAAACAAAGGGTGATATTTATTAATATTTTTATTATTTTAAAATAAAAAAAAAATTTTTTTGACGCGCATGAAATGAGGAAGTGTCCTTGCTGCTACTTCTCTGCTGTTGCTGGTGATATTATTTTGTCTAGTGAGAGCAAAAATAGAATAAGAAATAGAAATGAGAAGAATAGTTCGACTGTATAGATTTTTTTTTAACAATGAAGTATAATATTTGCACTCAAATTTAATCACGACATGCCATCGTTTATAACCATAAACAAAATGTTGTCTTGACACAAAAAACTCTTTTTTATTTTTTTTATAGAAAAAAAAAAATTCACTCATTATTGTCGAAAATTGAATAATCAAAAGACATAAATTATTCTAAGAAAAAACAAAAAAAAAAAAAAAATGAAAATAGAGAGAGATGAATATTATTCGATATAAAAGACTAAATGCTATTGTCTACGCATCGTTTACGTAAGAATATTTTTATTTCTTTTTTTTTTTGAAATAAAAAGATCTACAAATATTATTAATAAAATAATATTGTTAAATTAATCTAATCAAAAAGAGACAAAACATAATGCCACCATTTCATTGTATCATATAAAATTCAAGTTTAAGAGTTAAACAAATTTTCTCTAAAAAGTTATAAATCACTTTTAAGAAATTTTGTTTCCTTGTTAGGTTAGACAGTTCATCTACATATATTGTTATATATTTATTTCTTCTCTTCTTTCTTTTATTTCCTCATTCAAATGTCACTCGACAAAAAGATAAATCAACATATTTAAATAAATAGAATTGGCTTACAAGTACCAACAATAAATTATTTGCTTTTTTTGTTTTTGATTAAGTATGCGGAAAAAAAATCTTTTTTCTTTTCTTTTATTTTTTTTGTTTATTCTAAGAAAGGAAAAGATAGACACACTATACCTAAGAGCAACAAATGACAGCAATATTGTTCGACACCTTGAGAGACAAGTTAAACTTATTGTTTTTCTTGAATATATGATAATTTTCTATCAACATTCTATTTTATCGGATAATTGTGATTGTTAATGATCATCTTTATATGTTTTTTTTTTCCATACAAAAAGAACAAACAACAAATAGATAATATTTTTGTCCATATTTTTTTAATTCGATGTACACATGATAATGAAAACAAAAACAAGATTTGTATCGAGAAAAGGTAAATATAAAAAAAAGAATAGAAATTAAAATGTCTGACATTTATTCAAATATATAAGAATATTGTCTCTTTAATCTTAATTATGTGTACCATGTTACATTATTCTAGCTTATTTATGAAAGAATTATGAAGCATTATATCTAACTTTAAGAGTATTAAACATTAAGAGATAAACTTATCATTGATTAAATTAATAGCAGATCGAATATTAGAAATTCCATAAGAAATGTATGAATTTTTGTGTCAGATTTAAGTTTTAATAAAATGATAGACAAGTCATTTTGTTAGGTTGTTTGATTTATCTGACAAATCCTGATTTCAAAAACTTCCATCTTCGTTTTTATACAAATGTTTAAAGATCATTGCAATTATGTTATCAATTTTTATATGAAAACAAGGTGAAACAGATTTTCTCGTTCAACATAAATGTATTTCAGAGTTTTCTTAAAACTACATTCTCTTGAGACATGTCTTGATATTAAATGATCAATCGACAGTATTTTGAGAGCACGACTAAGTTCATTACATTGTTCGAATTTATATTTGATGTCCTAGTACAATATGCAGAAAAGTTGTGCTAGTACATTTTTCTGATATCATAAACGATATATTGATTTCTTCGACGATTCAATTTTAGATCGTCTTCTTATGATAATTCTGGTAACGTTATTGCATGTAAAACTAATATTTATTCGTTCGTTGTCCCTTACAACCATTTCATTTTTCTTCATTTCCATTGGCAGTTATTAACTATTAACGATATAAATCAACTTGACACAATTCGAATTTGTCTTCCAATTTATTATATTTATATTGAACGACGAGCGTCTCGTAAATTTCTGAAAATAATTGAGAAAATCTTTCGACGGATTCAAAAGGCACGGAGGAAGTGAACGATACGGATACTTTGTAAATTTAATATTTGTTGAATAACAGAGACACATATCATTCATATGAGTGATTCTGGTGTTTATTGTACCATTCTTTTTCAAAAAATGATCCCAAAAAACAGTAAACGGCTGTACTTAATAGTGTCATTAGCGGATAGAGGATACTTCATAGTGTAAGAGCAATTAGTTTTTCAAACTACCAGTTTTTTCTTTTTTTGGATTTAGAGACCGAAAGGTTTATGAAAAGTCATTAACTCTTTGTACACCAGACACACTAATTAGCGTATGATCATTAACTCAAAGATGACAAAAGCTAGAGACCAGCGGTTTTCAGCGATGAAAAGAGGATAGTATAGCCTATGTTTTTATAAGCAAAACAGTTTTCCGAAAGCATTCAGAAGGCCGGTTTTCTAGGAAATCTTTTGAAAGCAAGTCCGGATCTCCGGAAACTGAGATACCAATCTATCAGTTTTTTTTCATAGGCAGATAGTCCAATGTGTCCTCTCGAAAATGAAAACTAAGCGAACTCTTAATTTTTCTTGCTTCGAATGTGGCATCGGATTTCCTGAGGGCCCCAGGATCGATATCTCCTTAGGTGTGGTAATTCTGAAAACGAACGGAAACATAGGCGATCGACCATGCTGAATCTCGTGACGCCATTTGTTTTTCAATTAACTTTCAGAAACCTTGTGAAAACTTATATTAGGCGAAATAACCCATTTTTACCTATTTTTGAGTAAAATTATAGAATTCATAACCCAGTCAAGATCCACCCAAATTATGTCAGAATAACAAGATGTACTCTGTTT